AGGTGGTGATGAGAAAGTCACATGATGAACAAAAGCCCATCACAAGCAGCTTTTAAATAATAACATATATAGAAGGTGCACAGTGTCATTCACACAAACACTAAACACTATCATGGTAACATACGTGCAACTGAAATAATGCAATAAACATTAATTTAACAACATTAGGTGTAACACCTAAAAAAAGGTTCTTTACCTAAAAAAAAGAACAAAGAAAAGAACAAGAAAAAAGGTTCTTAACCTTCTTACCTAAAAAAACTAAGAAACAGTTATTTCAACAAAAAAACATCAAATTTGAATGTAACACAGGGAATTCTGGGAATGTCAATTTACGGTTATTCACTGTAAATTATACGGTCTTTTTCACTTCCAAAAACGGTATACTACCGTAAAATTAAATGTAATGTCCAATACAGTTTTTCACCGTATATAGTACGGGAATTTACCATTAACCATTTAACAGGTTTTTACTGTAGCACTTTTACAGTCTTTTACCGTTAAATTCACGGTCATTTTTTACAGTGTACATACCAACCTTCAGTTGGACAAAAATAATCATCAGGAAGAATCCCATATTTTGGCCCCAATCTCAAGGAAAGGTGTTTTAAGTTGGGCAGACGCCTCAACATGCCATGAAGAGCAGTTTTATGGATAGAATTTTTATCTTCATGGTAGTGTAGTGTGGTAAGATTGACAAGTTGCGAAATAGCAGCACTTATCTCTGATATCGAGGCTCTCTTGACCTCACACAAGCAGAGATGAGTCAGTTGTTTCAAAGATAAAAGTGAGCTGGTCAGACTCCGACAGCAACACTGACGGATGACAAGCCTCTGGAGGTGTTTTAAAGCCCCCAGTGTCATCAGAGCTGTGCCATCAGCGCACTGAACCAGAGTAACTGAACCGATCCACGTCAGCCAAGTCACAATTTGTTGCAAGACTTTTGCTGTTGCCTTTTGAACAACAATAGACTTGATTTTCCTTTGACAAAGAGTTTTCCAGAAATGTGAGTCATAGAATTTTTGGAGGACAATAACGCTGTCTTTCCATAAGGACCAATGGTCAATCAGTCTCTAAAGTACGTGCAGAAACGAACATTCAGTTTGTCAGAGAGAAATCCAAACACATGGATCCAAATTTATTCCGGTAGTTGAATCTCAGTCATCGTCTCCTTCAACAAACGACGAAATGTTAACTGCACTTGTATTTCCTAACATTATAATTTAATTTTTATACACTGCTCATTTGGTATTCTCTCCAAATACATATTTCCGACATATGTGCGCAATACGAACTTCACTAGCGAGGCGTGCTGTGCACGAATCGTTCTTTTCAGCCAGGGAAGCCAGGACAACATATCACAGCCACCGGAAACACCAGAGACACAGCCCATCTCACCAGACACATTATCCCTCTCTCCAGCATCTCCACTTCTAAGCTTCTCACAGAAAATGGAGGAACTGGTGTATGCTGGGACCAAACTCTCCCACTCCTTCTCTGCAAGCCCCCAGATATCAACTAAAAAACGGCAGGCACCACAAACACCAACGCATGTGGGCCCAGCTCCAGTGAGAGCTCTCCGGCCACTGCCACAATGCCAGGGCCCAAACCCTCCTCCATCTGCTGTAGGTGAACCAAAAACAACTGATAGCAGCTCTCAGTGATATGTGTTGGGTCCCCGCTATGATAGCAGCAACATTCACAAATGTTTACCGAACAAGTGGGAACCCAGTGTGCCTATAGCTTTCGCTATTTCTGTTTTATCACATGATAGAAAGTCTAAGGCCTTCTCAAGCCGTACGGCTGACCCATCTAATCTGCGGCCTGTTATGCGTCAAACTAAGATTGCTTTTGAGACAAAAACCAATGCCATGAAGTTAGCATTTTTAAACATTTGCTCACTAAAAAATAAATCATTTCTGATCAATGACTTAATCACCAAGATAATGCAGAAAACAAAACTACAAAAGAAATTATAACTGTTTTAAATACTTTTGACCTGATTCAGCATGTGCACGGACCCACACACAATCGTGGACACACCCTAGATTTACTCATCAGTAAGGGTCTGAACATTTCATCCATTGTTATTAAGGACGTAGCACTATAGCTTGTGCGGATGTGGGGGAAGACAAAACTTGAAATTCACTATAGCATCTATAAAGACAGCCTTCGTGCTTCCAATGTGGAACTAGGCAAAGCTAGACAGTCATTCTTCTCAAACCTTATAAACAGTAACTTAAACAACACTCGCACTTTTTTTGCTACTGTTGAGAGCCTAACAGTTGTTAAGCCCCTCCTGAAAAAGAGCAATCTTGATAACACCATATTGATACAGACCAATATCAAATCTACCTTTTATAGGCAAGATTATTAAAAAGGTTGTTTTTAATCAGCTTAACTACTGGTTCAGGTCATACTTAGAAGGGAGAGGTTATTATGTGAGTATAGGAGAGCATAAGTCTAAGTGGACGTTCATGAAGTGCGGAGTCCCACAAGGATTAATTCTTGCACCACTCTTGTTTAGCCTGTGCATGCTCCCACTAAGTCAAATAATGAGAAAGAACCAAATTGCCTATCACAGCTATGCAGATGACACCCAGATTCACCTAACCTTATCGCCTAATGACTACAGCCCCATTGACTTCCTCTGCCAATGCATTGATGAAGGTCAAACAACAAAAAATCAAGTCAGGATTCTTGGTGTGATTCTGGAGTCAGACCTTAGTTTCAGTAGTCATGTCAAAGCAGTAAGTAAATCAGCATACTATAATCTCAAAAACATTGCAAGAATTAGATGTTTTGTTTCCAGTCAAGACTTGTTCATGCCTTTATCACCAGCAGGGTGGACTATTGTAATGGTCTCCTCACCGGCTTTCCCAAGAAGACCATTAGACAGCTGCAGCTGTCTAATGGTCTTCTTGGGAAAGCCGGTGAGGAGACCATTACAATAGTCCACCCTGCTGGTGATAAAGGCATGAACAAGTTTCTCCAAGTCTTGACTGGAAACAAAACATCTAATTCTTGCAATGTTTTTGAGATGATAGTATCCTGATTTAGTTACTG